AAGAGAAGAGATTTGATGCAATTAACTTTACTCTTGAAAATCAAAAAAATACCCACGTCTTCACAAAGAGGAAGACGTCCTTTTTATAGAGGAATGATGATTCCATTTTAGAAAAGTGTAATCTTTAGCTTTAAAGAATGATTTTTGACTTTCCCAAACTAAAAGATACACGGAGATCATTATTTTTATTTTCTTGCCAAAAATGTTTTTAAAAGTCAAAAATCTTTTCTTTTAAAGGTAAATAAAATAAAAACGAGAATTTTGGACTTCCTTTTATAAATAATTTTTGAAAATAAAAGATATAAAAAATCTTTTTTCAAATATTTTGTTACCTAAAAATTAATTAAGACAAATCTTTTTCTTTGAGAAAGTAAACCAAAAAAGATCAAGATTTGGATTTTTTAATTTTTCAAGGTAATTTTCAAAAATTCATTTTTGAGAGAGAAGAAAGAAATTTTTTTTTGCTTATAAAAGAAATATTCTCTCTATCCTATCAAAATATCCGATATTAACTAATTGCAAAAAATAAATTCTTTAATAATCTTCAATGGTCTTCAAAATCTTGGAATTTGGTAGGGAACTTGCTTCTTTAACAATTTCTATATTTAAAAATTCTGCATAAATTAAATATTAGCTACATACAAAAATATTAAATTTATTTGTTTTGCAATAATCACCAAAACTCTCAAGATAAAATTGACCCTTGAGCCAACACTATATTTGCGCGAACTCACTCCAGATTCAACATCCCTCCTCCGACTGAGTTGATCTTTGCTAAGGCGGAGGAGCCTAAATAGATGGCCGGGGCGCTACCCTGCACAAGTAGTTTTAACTCTTTTATTTTCTGTTTTTTGGCTTTTGCCTCAATGTCTTTCATTCATAAAACTGTGCCTTAATTCTAGCAGCACAACAACAACGCGGTTAGCGTGTAAGGAGAAGGTTTCGAGCCTAAGATTCGGATAGCGGCTGCTGTTGTTGGCACGCCCGAGCATGGCCAGGTTCCTCGTTGTCTTTAATCCTAGACGCACAGATCGGTTTGCCCGAAGGGTATGCTAAGAGATACATCTTGTGAGTACATACCGCGATGTCAACCGCCTGGCTGTAACCACGTGTAAGTAACTTTTGTTTGTTTTTTTTGCTTTTAATTCTGATATATGCTTCTTATTATTATGCTTACTTATTGTTTGCTCCTGTGTTATTCTATAGGTGGTCATTGACGATACAATAAGTTGTGGTAGCTGTATGAGGTAGCTCGCTTGAAAGTTGGCACGGCAAGGCTCTCAGATGAAGCATATATTTAATAAGTGTAAACACTACAAAAAGAGACATGCATGCATATGCCATGTATACGTGTAATGCCAACATCATATTTATAAATGTGTGTAGAGAGTTGACATGGCACCTCCTGCTAATCGGGCTCGAGGGATGCAGAGTGGTGGGCATGCAGGTCGTGGAGCTGGATGCAATCTCTATTTATTGTTGAGCAGGACGAGGAAGTCTGACCAGGCGAGGACTTGGAGGAGACAGCCTTCAAACATATCTGAGCCGGCTACCCTAAACCTATTTCTGCTTGTATTTTCTCATTTTATTTATTCTTGCATTCCCTATATTCGGACTAGTTTTAAGGAATTTTCTTATAAAAGAATCAATTAATTTTCATATATGATGCTAGAGGAACAGTCTCTTTTTAAAGTTTTGGAATGGATGATCGATGTATTCACCCTTATAATTGACATTCATACTGCTGATTGAATTTGGGAATTGAAAGAACAACAAAACAACATCTTGTTCTCTGGCTATTAACCAGTGGTGTGCGCCCAATTGTGTTGTGGCTTTACACACAAATGCTAATGGTGTGTGCCACTAAGTGATACAGTGGTAGCCAGCTGTCATATTGTCCTCTCATTTCTTACTGTAAAAACATATAATACACCTATGCGCCTCAAAAGCCTCTTCTCTCTATTCCGACGAACCTTCACTCAAAAATCCTCCAAACTTATCATTTCTTTCCTTATTTTCCATCGGACCTTAGCCATCTGAATTTGAAGCACTATTTGTACAATCTTCAGCATGAAAGAATGGGATTATATTGTCACCATTCGGAAGTCAAACGAGTTAAACTTATTATTGGAACATCAGGTTCAACCCAAAATTGTTGCAGTGGTTGATCAGCCAGTTTGAATCCCTTCGGATAACTTATTTCGTCATAATAACTTTGAGATCTGTCCATTATTAAAGAATCAACACCATTTCTAGGAGAATAATTGTGGTTGATGAAATTCCTATGGTGCCCCGATTGGGGAACATAGAATCTTGCTTCAATGGTTCTGCCTATCTTTGGTTTTCTTCAGGCGTATGAGAATATGGTTCCTATGATTTAGCAGCTAATGTTTTGCCTCTTCAACCGCTTGTTGACCAGGCCTTGAGTGTTGACCAGGCCTTGAGTGTGGACCCATCACTAAGCCTTACTGGCCCTCCACTTTATTTAATTTCCTGCATCTTTAAGCCCAATAATTTATTACTCAGTGGCATTGTGGCTATGGTAGCCTTAGGCTGGTGGCCCATAAGTCAATGTAGATGGCTTGGCGACGCACACCTTTTTTCACCTTAATTCTAGACGAGACATTTTTACTTGGCAGGGATAGCATGCTGAGACCCTAAAGCTCGATACTGGTCTGATGGGGAGTCCACTTCTCTTGCGGTAAATGCATTTTCTTTTAATTTTCCTTATTCTTTATTTTTTATATGCTCTAACTTTTAACTTAATGAGCTTTTCTTTCTTTTCTTTTTTTCTTTTTTTTTATTTGAATGCATTTGTAGTTTGTGGGCTTTTGAGAAGCTGGCAGGTGAAAATGGCTCCACCATCGGATCATTGATGTTCGATTATAGACTGCGAGTCCTATTCTGTTGTCCAGTACGTTTGTTCTGGCGAGACTATGGTTAAGGACTGGACTGCTATTTTTCAGGAATCTTACCTTCCCCCCCCGGAAGGGGAGGGGGTTCCAGAAAAATGGACTTGCCCCTGTGGGTACATAGAGTGAGTCACCAGTTTCTTCTTACATGCTCTGTATCCCCTGTGTGGGTTTCCAATGGCACTATGCTCATTATCCCAACACGTAGTTAGGCAGTAACGGTCGA